CCGCCCGCCCTTCTCTTGCATCGAAAGCCGGAGGACATTTAGCGTCCTGTAAGCCTCCATACTTCTTCCAGCCTCCCCCAGAAAGGGAAGGCTTTACTGAGCGATGAGATATTAGTCAAGGAAAGGAGGAAGGGATATTTCAAAGTCGCAAAGAGAATCATCACTTTCAGGAACTTTCCTTAACACGATGCAGTCGTTTTCGCCTTCCAGGCAAACCGCTCCGTCCTTTGGCCCCGTGAGTCCCTAAAAGTAAAAGGAGGAAGATGGGGGGGCAGATGAGCCAAGGGGAAAAGGCAGGAAATGGTGGCTGGGTAGCTGAGCAGCCCCTCGGTCTTGCTCCTTCCCCCTCCCTCAGTTGCGCATGTCTCCCACCAGCAGAGGAAAAGTGCTTGAAGCGGGGAGGGGGCTGCACTGGACACTCCCCACAAAAGCAAGGCAGTCGGGCCATCCCACAGCCAAATGGAGTCAAGGCCCAGACCCCCACATTTCTGAAGAGGACACCGAAGGGGCGGGGGCAGCCGCCTTGGGATCCTGAAAGGGCCGTCAGCGGGGATGGGATTTGCTGCTGCAGTGAGGCAGCCACGTGCCTGCTCTGCTGCCTGGGGGTACCCTTGGGGGCTGGCTCCACCTTGCCAGGCAACTCCCATCTTCTGCAATCTCGGGTCCAGAAACAAGACTGGCATAGCTGCTGCCCCTTGCAGGGCCACAGGGCAAAACGGAGGCCCAGAAGGCCCATAGTGGCCCGCCAGCCAGCAGAGCAGTTCAGGCAAGAGTGAAAGTGGGTCAGCCACAGGGAGGAGGTTTTGCAGACTTTCTGCCCCTCTTCTGGGTTGCCCATTGGAGACCTTTGTGACACAGGCAGGACTGGAATCTGCCACCCCCAGGGGACTGGCCCAGGGGGTACTTGCCCCAGGACAGTGCCCAAACAGGTGCATCCTGAGGCCATGGCACCCCACATGTACCAGGCTGAACTGGAAATAAATCACCGAGGTGGGACCTCACCCAGAAGGGTGGCTCTGTCCTGCCTTCTTCCTCCCAGATCTCGGAAGGGAGGACCCCTGGCCAAGGAGCTCCGGTCACAATCCAAGCCCGGGGGAGCCTAGGTCCCTGAGCTCCCCCCGTGGCTGCCGCACGGCCAGCTTGCTATTAGAGAACAGCCCTAGCAGCTGGAGCAAAGCTGTTTCGGATTGCGGGGGAGACTAGCTGGGCCCACCCTCGATGTGAAGTTTTCCAACAGGCAGTGCTCGGAGGGTGGTGGAATTGTTTCCAGAAAGACTCAGTCACTCAGACTGAAAGCTGCCGTGAGAAACTGCACGTCATCTCCCCTCCCTTCCCTTCCCACACAGACTCTAACCCCCCCTCCCACCCTTGAGTAGGCCAGGAAATTCCACAGCGGGCGCTCCAACTTTCTCAGCCTGTCCTGGCCCCATTTGCTGAAGGACCAACCCTGGGCTGCCCAGGGACTGGCACCAGAAAGCTGGACCAGGAGATGCACCTCCAAAGACTGCCGGCCTGGTGTCTTAGGTGCCCCCACCCCACTGTTTTGCACACAGGAGCATCTCTCTCCATCACTCATGGAAACACAACTTCCTCCCTCCGCTGCGCAGGGGTGGCAGGAGAAAATACCGAGATGCCTCGGCAGCAAATGGATAATCATTTCTCATCCAGCACGTCTGCCATCTCAGACACCAGAAGGGCCTGGCTGCGCACATTAACTAGGCTTGACAGTTGGGCCCACTCACTTGCTCCACCATAACAGAAATGGCCTTATTCCCTCCTCACCAGTCCCCTGCTCCTTGGGGAAGCTGTTGCCCTCCTGAATGCAAAGGGCTCCAAGGAAGCTCTTGGAATGCACAGGTGTGAACAGCCCCACCACGCTGTGTGCCCAACGTATCTTCTGCAGCCAGGGATGAGGAATGTCCCTCCTGCAACCTGGGGCTGCCTTTGTGTCACTGCAGGGCTAAGCTGAGGGAGGGGCGGGTAAGGCGGGAGGGGGAGAGGGAAGGGGGCCAAAGAGGAGGCAAGAGCAGTGCTGGGGGGGGTGTGCATGTGCATGTGTGTGTGTCAGGGAAGGCGAGGAGGAGGAGGAGGCCGCCTGCCGGTTTTGCCAGATGAACCCGAAAGAGGTCCTCCTGCACCGTCAGGGGGTGGGGTGTGCTTTCTGAGGGCTCTCAGCTCTGAGCACTGGCAGGCTGCTGCTGCTGCTGCTGCTGCTGCTGCTGCCGCCGCCGCATGGAGGGCAAGGCCGAGAAGGACCCGGGCAGGCGGTCCTTGCTCACTTCCCGCCCCACACAGGCCCTGGCACGAGGAAGATGCGTGCTGTTCAGCGGCCGCTCCTGGGCTTCCTGTGTGGCCCCTGGCTGTGGGTGAGCCTGGCCCAGCCGCCCACACGGCCTCCCACCAGGCAGAGCCCGGTGTCGCCCACCCTGCACTTCCGACTGGCCGGCTACCCCCGTAAGCACAACGAGGGGCGCATCGAGGTTCTCTACAACCAAGAGTGGGGCACCATCTGTGATGATGACTTCACGCTGGCCAACGCCCACGTCCTCTGCCGGCATCTGGGGTTTGTGGCTGCCACGGGCTGGACTCACAGTGCGAAATATGGCAAAGGTGTCGGTAAGCATCCCTGAGCTAGGGCAAGGGAAACCATGGGACAGAGGGTGGGCCATTGAGGGCAGATCTGCCTGATCCTAGGCACTGGGGCTGGGCAAGTTGTGTTTTGACCGGACAGCCCTTCCCTCAAACTCCAGGGCTCAACCCCGAAGCATACTGAAGGCCTTACCTGAAGTAATAAGCATGTCTTTAAGCATGTGCAAAGTGCCTCCCCTATGCAACGGGGCCCCCAAAGGCCTGACCCATCGGCCCCTGGTGCTTCTGACTCCCAGACATCCTCCTGGCACGTCCCAGGCCTGAGTTCCTGGTGGTCACTCCACAGGGCGCATCTGGCTGGACAACGTGAACTGTGGTGGCCACGAGAAGAGCATCGCGGAGTGCCAGTCGCGGGGCTGGGGCAACAGCGACTGCTCCCACGACGAAGACGCAGGCGTCGTCTGCAAGGATGAGCGCATCGCCGGCTTCATCGACTCCAATGTGATTGAGGTGAGCTGGGACAGAAGGGCCTTGAAGAGGGGATGGCGCCTAGAGCGAGATTCCTAAGAACAGCGTAATGAACATCAGACCAACACAGAGCAGTAACACCCTATCTGCAGTTACACCTCCAACCATTTCAGGGATATGGCAACCCCGTTAGAGGCCTGCAAAGGAAGCCGTGGCCAGGAGGCTAACAAACCCTCCCTGTCCCTATTCAACCTGTTCTCACGGGTGCTGATCCTGGAGTGCAGGCTGGCCGAGGTGGTCCTTCAGGCCGTGTGATCTCCAAAAGCGTGGAACACAAAAGGACCGTTGTTAAACTGAGCCTGGGAGCCACCCTGGCTGAAGCTTTCAAGACCTCTTGAAAGACACCCCCCGCCCAGCAAGACCTCCTCTGGGCTGCTGGCTCAGTCTGTAGGGGGCTGAGAGACGGGCCCTCCCTGTGCCCAGATAGAGTGGCCCTGGAGCGGTCAGAAGCACACCGAGGCACCCACACCCCCCAAGCTTCTCTGCTTAGCATGCATGAGGCTACCCAACATGCAAATTAAAATGGGGTGTCTTTGCTTCTGGCTTATTGTGTTGTGCAAGTCCAGACATAGCAGCTTATTACACTAACTGCAGTTTAACGTTATGGGTTTTGATCAGCCCAGTTCCCACATTGTCTCAACTGTGCCTTTTTGTCTTTCAGAAGATAGAGATTTTTAGCCTGCTTCAAGGCAGCCACAATGTCTCTGTCTTGTCTGGGTCGATTCTTAGTTTCTTTGCCAAAATAGCCACTTGTCATTTCCACTGGCCAGATGTTGAGGTGTCAGGGGTTGTATCTAGGACAAGACCTATGTCCTAGATACAACCCCTGACACCTCAACATCTGGCCAGTGGAGGCTAGTAAAAGGCCTTCGTCAGCATCAACCATCCCACACGCCCTTCCCTTTCACCAGGCAGATAACACAACTACTGCATTTAGCTCGCTGTGTTCATGAAGAGATGTTTGACAGTTGTTTGGAGGCAATGATGGCCAAATGTGGGGCAACAAATGAAAGTTAAGTGCAGATGATGGAGTTGCTCTGGATAGGTGGTTCTCAGGCCTAGGAACTGAGAAGTTGGCCTGTTTTGGATAATACAACATACATTCCAATGGAAGAGGTAAGTATCTTGAAACGTGTGCTTGGCTCCAAAATGTCATTGGAGATCTTTGTTCTGGCTGAGACTGGCATAGTGCTATGGTCCTGCTAGGAGCAAGATCCTTGGAACATGGAGTGTAAGGGCTGGAAAGGGCCTCGGACATTAGCTAGTCCAACCCCCTGCCCAAGCGCTACAGCGTTACTACAGCATCTCCATCCAGCCTTTGCTTAAACAGCCACAGTCAAAGAGGGCCCACCAGCTCCTAAGGAAATCTGTTCTGTAGTTGAACAGCTTGTAGTCTTAGGAAATTCATCCTTATGTCCACCCAAAATCTACTTTCTTGTAATTAAACCCCTTGTTTTTTGTCCTCTCTTCTGGAAAACCTCCAAACAATTATCTCCTGTCTTCTACATGGCAGCCCTTCAGACACTTGGTGACAGCTGTCATGTGTCCCCGCAGTTATCTTCTCTAATCCAACCTTCTGCACTGTGCAGAAAAACCATTTAAACCAGGAGTCCCCAAACTCTCCAGCTCATCAACCCCTTCATGAAGCTTCAGATTGTTCAGCGACTCCCAAACATTTATTATATGTAAATAATTTAATAAATGCTACTTTAATAGTACTACAAATAATAACAACAACAACAATGGATAGTCCCATCAACCCTTGGGGGTCGATATGGTCCACTGTGGAGAAA